CGGGAAAATAGTTACTTTTTTAGGTAAATACCAAACCTTTTTATATTTATATAGATATAGATTTTTAAATATATGATAAAATTTTACCAAAACATTTATTTTATTGAATTACATTGTAGTCAAATTGTAATTTTGAATAAAATTTTTTAATATATACATTATTTTAAAATGAATATAACACAATTTATTATTAGTTACGTGCATTGTATGGGTTGTGTACTAATTTTAAATACACATATTTTATGTAATTTTGTACAATTCAAATTTCGTATAACATTTTTAAAAATTAAATAATATAGGTAAACTGTATTACATATTGATTCAATATTGTTAATTTATAAAATATTATTTAATGTATATTTTTTTCTTATAAATACTAATAAGTATTTCTTACCCATGCATCGCACGAGATTCGTACTAGTAATTAACAATAATGTATTATGAAAATATAAATAATAATTAAGAAAAAAGACATATGTCTTGATATAAAATACAGGTAGGGATGAAAACGGGACGGGAAAATCCCGTACCGTCCCGCAACCGTTCCCATATTTGACCCGCTCGTTTTCGTATTTCCGGTTTTTTTTTCGGGAACGGGACGGATAAAAACGGTAACGGGACGGAAACGGTTTGGGGTGTTTCCCGCCCGTTTTCCCGGTTTCCCGTTTTTTAGCGGGAATATCCCGTTTTTATCCCGTTTAGAATTTCCGGGACCAAATAGGTATTGTACTGTGATGTTATATATGTTGTTTTTTACACTCAAATAATAATAATAATAATTATAATAATAAGAGAGACTAATTTTAGAGGCTAATTTTAGATATATATTGTATTAGATATATATTGTGAAAAGTATACTAAGACTAATTTTAATACCACAGGTTACTGTCAGAAGACGATGATGCATAAATGATATTCATGAGACGAGTACAATAATAATAATAATAATAATAATAATAATATAATAATAATAATAATAATAATAATAATAATAATAATAATAATAATAATAATAATAATTATAATAATTATTATTGTTTAATGACGAAAATTTCATTTTCATAACAGATATATATTGTTTAAATTTATTATTGTGTCAATTATGGACTTATGATTGTGATTTTTTGTCATCGTCATACCGCGTTTAATTGCCCGTTACCGCCCGCTACCGGTATTATATCCGTTCGTATTAGTTCGTTTCCGTATACCAAGATGTCCCGCATCCGTTCCCGCTCCCGTTCTTTCCCGTTCCCGTTCCCGTTCCTGGTCAAAATATGTGGGAACGGAAACGGTTTAGGGGGTTTCCCGCCCGTTCCCGTCCGTTTTCATTCCTAAATACAGGCGCCAACAGATGGGTTGTTTTCTGAAGCCCATATCCAGAAGCCCACGATAGTAGGCCCACATTCGGTATTTACTTCAGTTTGCAAGTGACTGGCTAGTGGCCCAATCCAGTGCTGTACGAGAACATTTTTGTTCCCTAAAGCCACTGTCATCATCTTCGCTACAAACCCGCGGGACCAAAGGAGAGAAACTTCGAGGTCCAGTTCGTCTTCCAGATTAGATTAGCTCTAGAGATATTGCGAGCGCGATTGCCATGCCTGTCGAAGTAGCGAACGTTGCGCCGGAGGTTACTTCGTTGCCCAACGGCGATTTGAAATCCCAAAACCCTAGCGGCGCCGCGAAGAAATCTCGGGAATCCGAGCGCCGCCGGAGGCGTCGGAAGCAGAAGAAGAACAAGCATAGCGGCGACGGCGGAGATGACATCGACGCTGCTGCGGAGGACGCCAACGGCACCGCCGAGGATAGCTCTAAAGAAAACTCCAATCCTCAAAAGGTACTCGGAAATTCTTCGAGTGTTCTGTGTTTAGCGGATAATGAGTGGTATTGGTGTGAAATCGAGAGTTCGGTTCCTGATTTTGCTTTTGGTTTCGCATCACCCTGTGTAGGATTTGGGCACTTATATGAATATGTATATTTAGTTGAACGGAATACTAGAGTACATGGTGAAATTAGTTGATCTTTAGTAGAAAGAGCTACTGCCTAATGTGGACTCTCTTGAAGTATAGAAGAATATGATTTTTCTTTTCTTTGTGAGGTTCTTCATAATATGTATCTTTTCACGCTTTCTTTGTAATATTTGATTTCACTGTATCTTAAAGCCTTGGGAGTATAACATTGGCAAATAAGAATACTTGAAGCATCTTTTTTGATTCTATTTGTCTCTCGTTTGTGTTCTTGTCGACCCAAGTATTCAATTCATAACTGTATTAGTGAGTTATACAATTATCAAGTGTCCTGAAAATATTTATGTTCGTGATTTATTAATTTTAGCATAACGGAATGTGGTATAGTCTCACCATAAACTCATTAAATCATCATACCGGGAAGCCGTATATTGAACTTGGTAGCATGGAACTTACACATTTTTATGTCATTATCAGGCTTTAGAACCAGTAGAGGTCGAGTATGTGCCAGAAGACGCGGAGTTAGATGGAGTCTTGGATGATGAGTTCAGGAAGGTCTTTGAGAAATTCAAATTTTTGGAACCGTCTGCTACAGAGGTAAGATAGAAGTCCTTTGGTTTGTTGTGAATTTTATTCTTTGTCCTTCCCTCTTTTTAATTGATTCTTTTATTGCATGTTTTTCATGTTTTTCAGGAGAATGATAAGAAGGATGCTACTGCAGTTGATGCACCCACAAAGAAAAAGAACTCAGATTCCGACGATGAAGAGCAAGAGACTCAGCAGAAAGAAAAAGGAGGAATATCTAATAAACAAAAAAAGGTTGGTATTTTACACTTCATTTCTTTTGAATTCTAACTTTTTTGAATGCAAAAAGACCTGTGTTATGCTTATTGTTTATGTCAGAATGGCATTCCCTAGGCTAATACATTGTTGCTTTCTTACAGATTCAACGGAGGATGAAAATTGCTGAACTGAAACAGATTTGTTCCAGGCCTGATGTAGTTGAGGTAAAGTTCTACTTTATCAGATAGGTGTGTTGATGGTTATCATGCCTTCTGCATTCTGATCAGCTTTTAAAGATAACTATTTATTAGGTAAGAATTGAATGGGC